AACGCACCAACCAACAAACGACTAAACTTCTAAACTGAAGACGGTTTGCGATGTGCAGCCGAAATATATTACAGAAATATTAAACTCAATTGTTTAAATATTTTATTTTAATAAGCCCGGACCTCGAGACAGCCAATAAAATAATTAAAGGTCGGCAAAACCAGCACTAAATGTACACACAAATATATATATTATAAATATTTATATTTTTGGATGACTTTCCTCTATTCCCAACCAATAAGTCTTTCGGCATCTAAGCGCTAAATACAGGGTATCTGCCGACCAGAACTCGTTTATTCAGTGTTGTTTTTGTTTTTGGTGCTGTTTTTGGCTGCATTTCAATTTTATTGTGAAAAACAACGGTAACTGTAAAAGGCGTTGGAGTGCTACGTGATTTACACCTAGGCGGATGTGCATCTGTGCATCATTTTACGAGCATGCTGGCTGGCACTTTCCACATGCCACATGCCACATACCACACATGCCCTACCAAACAACTTGCACCCACTGTGCTCCTTTGCCCACCTGCTGTGCATCAACCCGTTTAATGTTTATAAGGTGCTGCTTTTAGCTGACAGTCAAGATGTTTGTTTATATTTCTGTTGATGACTCGCTGCAGAATTTATTCGACTTTACAGCGCGGCCTCAACGTCAACGTTGATGCGACTTTTACGCGCGTGTTGATGCGCGTTGCTGCCACAGCTGGCAGCATAGAGTCCTAGCTGCGGGCCACTAGCTGTTGGCTTTCTGCTTTTTTTTTGTTTTGTTCCACTAACCGCTTTTCCGCCTGCCTCCAGCCATTGGCCATGTCAAAGTCAAAGCCACGCGCAACCATTGTCATTACACGCGCGAGCGCTTACACGATTTAAGTTTGGCTTCGGGATTGTTGGGCTTGGGTAGGGAAATGGTGGGGTTGGTTCTGGACTTGGTCAGATTGATTGTGGTCGCCGCTCGTTCGATTGCCACGCTGAGCAACCAGAATGCATTGCATTTTAATGAAGATGTACGACGCTGTGTTGGCCGGCGAGCAAGCGGGAAAGCGGAAAAGCGTGCCAGCCGTGTCGCCTCTCTGCCGGCGCTTGGTTAGCACTCGCTTTGCCTCTCCACATGCGTTTGTCAGTTACTCGAATTGTCGGGGTTTTAAGCCGTGTTTTGGTTACGCGCGCCTGTCATTTCGCGCGTGGTCCTGCCCAAAGGCCTTGAATGTGTTGGCGCTTACGAGTTATTAGCTCCAGTCAGTGGGACTATTAGAGTCCTGCGTGGGTGTGTGTATGTGTGTAAGTATGTGTAAATAGCGAAGGTTTTATGAGCCACAAAATCAGTTAAGGTAAAAAATGCTAGAGTATAGGATTTTAATGGTATTGAGAGATGGACGGAAATTGATGGAGAGAGGGAAAAAAGATAGAGAGATAGAAAAAAAATAGGGAAAGAGGGAAAGAGAGAGAACTAGAAAAAGAGCGTGAGGGAGAGACAGATAAAAGAAATAGAGAGGAATAGAGAGAGAGACAGAGAGATAGAAAGAGAAAACAAGACACTAATATGTAACAGAGAGAAAAAGTGTGATAGAAAGAGAGAGAGAGAGAGAGAGAGAGGGAGGCAGGAATTGAAAGCAAGAGTGAAAGCAAGAGTGAGATATATAGAAGAGAGAGGGAAGCAGGAAGTGAAAGCAAGAGTAAGATATATATCACAGAGAAAGAGAGAGAGAGAGATATGAACAAAGAAAGAGATATAAATATTATCTGCATTAGAACTTCATGAGAAGCCTTAACTCTAAAATGCTAACCGAGATTCTGTTTTAAAACACTTTTGTATAGAGAATTATTAGGACATCTGTATCATTTGGGTATCATATATCTAAATTTAATATATAGTAAAACCAAAGACAATATAAACACTAAGATAAGCAACGCCACTAGGCATACCACATATAGATGGGTTAGCTAAAAAAAGGGTAACTATTTATTTTCTGTGGATTAGGTCCCCGATCGACTTCGTTTTTATGCGGATCCAGTGAGTTAAAGAAGCATATGTTTTGGCAATGGCATTGAGTAATAAAGAGAATTTAGAAACTAGAATTGCTTTAAAGCCTTCCAATTTGCGAGCGATCCCTGTAAACTCACATGAGAATCCGTTTATCAAATTTAAATATATTACCAATTTGTGGGATATCTACTAGCAAATTAAAATGCCTGGATAGCTTAAGAATATTTTTGCGGAATAGTCCTTTAGATATATTTATATTTAGTGGTATTTTAGTGGTATTTTATGAGATAAACGTTTGACTTAAACGTTAACCTTTAGTATTATAATAACAAGACTATCAAAACACAACCACTTAATCTTTGATGTTTCACATTATTAAAAACTTGGATTAACTCTGAGTAATTCATTTTAACCCCAGCTTCCTGCAGCATTCAACTTTCACTAAGCCAGTTGGTAATAGTTTATAATATTCCGATTGTTAATTTCAAAGTACAGACATTTCAGAGAATTGGCTTAAGCGTACGCCAAAAAGAAAGAGCTACAAATGATTTCTTTGTCTTTGTCTGGCAAAATTTCTGTTTGGCTGTTTGCTTTCACTTTGTCCTCACGAAAATTCCAAGCGGCTCTGCCAAGTCCTTTGTCTTTGGCGTCAGAGCCAACTTTACGCATTAATTTTGTTAATAAATTTAATGTCTGCACATGTTTCGACAAGCCAAAGCTCACATACACAGGAAAACACACACACACACACGCAGGGTAATTAAAAATTTAATTGCTCTGTCAATATGTGCCGCCAAGTTTTTACTGTAGCACAACTCTAAAAAAAAGGCGAAAATCAAAAGTTACAAATTGCACAAAAAGATGGATTTGCATTGCAAATGACTTACCAGAGTAAGGAGTCGCTGGCACTTTATCAATTTTATAGAGAAACACTTCAAGTTGTTGGGCAAATTACGCAACCCACTCGCGATGGCTTTGGCGTCCGGCTGCTATTGGCAGCTGCCATCCATTTGTGCTGTCAATGGCACAAACCCACACGTCCGCATGTGGGATATGGGCCCACTTTTATTATACCCTGAACCTATTGAAAATGGTCAAAGGGGTATATTTTCTCACTCCACATCACTCGAAAGCTCTAAGAGCTAGATATTTTTCAATTCTCGTAAAGTATATGCAGATTAGGAATATTTTACTTTACATATTAAATGCCCCAATTCCTCCCAATTTTCAAAGGTAAAGTTCTTGGGCTTTGGTATATAACTATTTCAGTATATCATATTTAAGCCCTGAAAATTTCATCAATATCAAATTATAAACACCCGAGTTAATCAAGAATGCATTTCCCATATAAAATGTGAAATAATAGGAAGAAGAAGCACATCTGCTGTGTTAAAGGCGCAGTTTACAGCATGCTTGCAATCGTCTCTATATGTGTGTGTTTTTGAGTATGTATGTATAAAAGGAATCCAGAATCTTTGTAACTGCAGCTTGGCGTTGGGCTTAGGGTATGTCCTAACGGGACACCTCTGACTAGAGCGCACCACCTGTTTATCATTTAAGTACGTGTACTTTATTGGCTGCGTGCCGGCATTCACGTTTGAAGTTCTGGGCTCGACAAGGTAAAAGGTATTCATATAAATGCAAAATAGCCGCAATAAATGCATATTTTACTATGCATTCGCTGTGCATGCTGAGTGGAAAGTACCTGCTCCTATACTATTTCCTTTTTATTGGTCTAAACAAAGGAATTGCAAATTTTTTTTTACTGTTTGCTCTACTTTACGTTCACGAAATTAAGGCTTCACTTTATTTTTATTTATTTTCTTTTAATAATCGACTAAAGGTCAGTTAATACGAGGCCCATTAATTTTTGTGTGGATTGCCTTTACCTAGTTGTTAGTACTTTATGCCCATAACATAGTTAACAAAAAGGTTTTAAAAATAAAATGTTAAAAAATAAATAGAATATATAAAAAAAATATATCCAGGGAAATTAATTGGCAGAAAAGGAAAAACAACTTGGTTTTTATTAACTCTAAGCCCAGACCTTGAGCCGGCTAAGCAAGCAACAAATAAATAATATAAATCTATATTTACATTTAATTATACGTATAAATTTATTTCTTATATTTTAAAAATTTTAATAACATAAATTAAAAACTATATTATAAACTTCTCAAATCATTCAAGGGTTTATGAATTTAACTGCATACAGGGTACTTCTCAGTCGAGTACACTCAATTAACAGACGTCTTGCTTGCACAACTTGTCATTTGTATTTAAATTAGTCAAGCAAATTCTGTGTAAATCTGTGTAAATCGTCTAACAATAAATATTAAATGTGGCAACAAGGCGAGGCAAGTCAAGATGTTGCCACGTCCGAGTCGAATTATATTTGATTAACTGGTTGCACTTGCAACTTAGTTACAAGAACTTGGATTATTATGTAACTAACTATTGGCGCTTGCTTAGCTTAACTTTGATTTGTGCTCAGTTGGACAGTGTGGCAAGCAAATATTTGCGGCAATCATCTAGCGAATGCAGTTGCAACTCGCAGCTTTGGCCAAAATGCTTGCAACACATGTTGCACTCCAGCCGGGACTCAAGCAACTGGCAGCTGCAATGCAAAGTAGAACCATTACAATTGGTCAATGGAAAAAGTTTTATATGTTCGTATACCCTAGTAGAGGGTATAATAGATTCTTTTGGAAATGTGCTATGTATAGAGGGTGACAGAAAATATTTTTTTGTTTTTTAGGATATCTTGACTAGACTTGATCAAAATCTTATCAACAACGGATATACAACGATATAATAAAGTTTTATGGGAATAATATGTTGAAAAACGGGTTTTTATATGGAACAATTTTGTTGGTTTCAATACATCTTGTCCAAACACATCAATAACAAACATCACCATTCTTCTAACATATCTGAAAAAGTGCGTCAATTCGTCTAACTTCTCTGTATGTCTCCTATAGTAAAAATAAGTCTGAAATAGGTCTTCGCTAAAAAACGTTTTCAAGTCACTCATCTATAAGGGTATTCAATATTCGGCATGCCGAAGATAGCCACCCACCCGTCGATAAAAGTCTCGGATGAGCTGCCCAGCTTATTGTCCGCGTCAAGTGAAGGCAGCTGCTGTTGCCATTTGATTGCGCCGCTTGTCTCCCTGTGACTTGGGTTGCCAATTTCGTTAAGACTTAAATTTGGTTTATCCGCGAGACGTAGCGAACGTCTCGGCTCAGCTGGATCTGCTCCACTAGGCCAGGAGCGCCAGCTGCAGGCATCGCTGCCTAGGCTGGATACCGGTTCCATCAATTGACGGCGGCTCCACTGTTCAATGGCGCGGCGCACCACTATCGACACAAAATGGCCGGCAATCCTTTGGGATTTCTAATTAGATTTTATGCTGGCCTGAAGATACTCCCGCCCTAATAGCCCGAAACTTACCACTCATCGTAATCGTAGTCTGCGGGTTTTCTTATTCTTCGACTATATTTTGGAGACTTACAGCTTAAAGGCTCTTTAGGTCGCTTGTAGATGGGCAGATTGGAATATCGCTGACGTGTCTCTTAAAAAAATATATTTATTTTCATATGAAAATTGTACATACATATGTATTAATAAAAAAAATCTACATATAAATTTCACATTAAGGCTCACCCTCATATTGAGCATAGAAAATTTCGCGTTTCTTATTATATCGATTGGAGAAGAGGCTGTTAAACATTTTCCATGCACCTACGTCCAATTGAGAATGCGTTGCGTAATCAACTTGAGTTCTATTTTAAAGCTTCATGACTGCAAGACCGCAACAACAACGATAGCGATAAGAAAATAAACAGTTGCCAAACGTTGAGTCACAATCAGACTTTGCGACAAGTCATCGCAGCAGTCCAGTTTGATAATTGTTTATAAACAATTTTGTTGATATTCCAGCATGAGTATTTGGAGATAGAACTCCGCTCTTGTGTCAATTAATTATTCAGAAAATTTTCGATTAACAGTCAAGAGTCTGGACTCAAGACTTTTCCTTATAATTCGTCATTCATTTTATTAGGAACTTGTATACCACAAACAGATCGGTTTGATTTCACATATTTGTCAGTCTCTCATTTCTTCAAATTTATGAATATCGCCTTTCTGTGAGATTCTCAGAACTTTCCATCTTAGAAATGTATATGTTTCTTGTGTGATAATAATTGCGATACACAATTATTATATAATCTGTGTTTCATTTATTCATTTAGCCTCTCTCTTGCTTACGTTTATCACTATCCCCCTCCCTCTCTCACGCTCATCAATCTTTCCCTAAAATTGTATTCTTCTATGCGATTCTCAAGGCTTCATGCCAGGCTTACTGATTTTGTCGATTGTTAATGATTTGATGTGTGTAAAACATTCGGACGAATTGTGTCTGTGTCTGCATATATTTTGTTTGTTTATAAGTAAATAAAAAACGATTGTATTTGGGTTCCTAGTCAAGTACTCTCGAGTAAAGCACTCTTATTTCTAGGAGTACGTTCTACCTGGCAGTACTCAAATAAGTGCTCATTGCTTAAGTGCTCTGCAGCATATTTTAATACCGATACCGCTTTTAACTACACAAACCATTTTGCACAATCAAAATTATAGACTAATGTCGAGTGGTGCTCATGGCTTCCAACAGTTTTCGACATCAAATCGCAAAGTTTCAAAGCCGAGCACGTAGGGACACTATGCGAGTAACCGCAGCCACGAGCTGCACCTGAATGGGCGGAAGCTGGACACTGGCACAGACACACACACGCACACACACACACACGTTCAGCACAGGCACATGTGCGTACACATGTGTAGCTGAAAATAAGGCACATAATTGGCTATTTACGCTGCCCGCTACACAAAGCACAATGGCCAATTGCAGTTTTTGTTGTTATTGTCAATTTTTGCTAAAATTGCGTCGCGTTAATTGAATTAAAAGTGCGAAAACGGTTTTCAAGCGCTAAAATCATATTTTAAAAATACTAAATTTTAATAAACAAGAACGCAGGACGAAAACCCAATACCCTTGGGGACATGCGGCTTATGTGAGGATTTGCAAATATGTGAGGATAATTATGAAGCTCGCAATTTCAGAGATTGGTCAAGATATCTGTATTACAAGAACGTTTTTCCAAACAAAAACCAATATTTCGACTGTGTTCTCTTATAGAACTTAATGATATGATAGTCCGATGTTGTTGAGATGCCGCTCATATGTATAAAGCATCAGAGAGCTCTTATATGAGAAGTTTGTTCAAGATATTGATAAACAAAAACCTTTTTAATACAAGAACTTAAGTCTTGGCTGATCGTCCATAGTTTGCATAACAACAGAAAGGTGAAGAAGACTATATCAGTTCGTCTAATGATGCTAATCAAGAATATATACACTTGACGGGCTCAGAGATGGCTCAATCTATGCGTTACACATTTCATGACGGATTTATAATACCCTCTAACAATAAAATAAGTGAGCGGCATCTAGCTAAACAAAACAATAATGTAAATTTAATTAAATTTTGCGCATTAGCCTGAGCTTTCAGCCAATTTAAATAGGCAAAGCACGGGCAAAGCCGATTTAATTGAGCGGCGGCGTTGCTGCTGCTGGTGTTGGGGGCGGATGGCAGGACACGATATAAAAATAATCCCAATAAAATGCATTTTTCATGTCAAACGCCTGAGCTGCTGGAATAACCTGAATGCACGCACAGGACTTTACGGAATTGCACGCAAACAAAGTGGTGCACAGGCAGAGCGTATATGGCAGCAGGGGGAGCGGTGGCTGTGGCAGGGGTCTGGCATTTCTGGTAGTCCGGAATGGGCGTTGCAATTGTGTGCAGCTGCGGGCGTGGCAGCTCTTGTATTATGTAATAATAGCGCAAAATTCAAACAAAAACCAACCAAAGAACAAAATATCATTTTTACTGCCGTCGAGCTAAGCTAATAGCCAAGTCAACACAACACAAAGAGCAGCCAGCTATTTGGCTAAGAGCAGTGCGGAGGAGGGAGCGGCAGCGGCAGCGGGGCTCAAGAAAGTGCATCAAATGCAATTGCCGCAAATCAGCTTATGCTTATGCATTTGACTAAACAAGTGCACTCGCTGCATGCCACAACCCGGCTTACTGCATGCCACAGCTGGACGCCTTTGTGGCCATTTCGCTTGGCGCCAAATTCAATTTATTGTCTTAAAGCGCTAAACCACAAAACGACAGGCTAACGCAATAAAAAACAACAAAGGATTATCTCTTGACTTAGCCGTTGGCCAACCCCCACACAAACCAACCCCTCAGCTCCCACTGTCCTCCAATTGCAAAACTTAATATAACTTGTGCTGCCCCGGGGGGGGGGGGGGGATTGGGTACAATGTTAAAGTAAAAGTCAGCAAAAGTTCCATAGTGCACGCTGATAGCACGCGGCTCACAACTTTTCCAGAGTAAAATATATATAAAGAAAAAATATGCTTAATACAGGCAAAGTTTTGCAGGCGTATTACTTGTTCTATGGCATTAAAATTCCCAAGTAGTTAAATTAATTAAAAGTCAGGCAAATGCATAACGAGCAGAAATACTCGAACTGACAGGCGCCCAATTGGCAGCTGCAGCCCAGGACCCAGGTGTTTCCCTCTTACTTATCAATTAGCCTCGAAATAAAACACATTCGACATGCCTGCAAGCCACACATAATCTATTGTTGCGAATTTATTTTCTTTCGATATTTTATTCAATTTCTATTCTATTCTATAAAGCAATCTTAGAACCTAGATTTCTGCAAGCTATGGCATCCGGGCCCTTTGGCTTGCTGAAAGGCAAAAAGTATAAGATTAAATAAAAATATGTATATTTTTTAAACTGAACAGCACGAATCCTGGTATGGTTTTAGTATAGGGCTATAGTTGCCAGCTATTAAAATTGTTATATTTTTTTTAATAGGCAGATATATAGGCAAATTGAAAAATATGTTTATATTGATATAGGTTGTTAATACTAAAATAGAATAAATATTTTCTTTCTCGAGTCTCATATACTATAACTACTATACGGAATATGGAAGGGCACAAAATAGTTAAAATTCATCAGCGTGCCAAAAGTCCGACGGACTTATTAAAATACTCGCATTGCCTTTTCTTTGATAGCCACTTACGATCCAGCAGATAGCAGTATTTCACTTTACTGGATAAGTCAAACTCGCGAATATGTTGAAAAACTAATTAGGGAAAGCTTTGCTATAATTAAATGAAATCTAGCCAAAAATATTTGGAAGTTCGCATAAGAACAATTTTCATTATAAGTGTTTGGTTCTCCGTTTAATAGACGGGAAAGTATACTTTGCTTATGGTAACACACAGTGGCACGATTTGACTTTATTCGTGGAAAATAAATAAATAGCATATCTTCTTCAGATATAACTAAATTTATCTTAATCTATCTTCATTATGTATAACTTAATCTATTTACATAGTCGTGTGGGGTTCCTTTTTAACCAATTGGAAGCGTTCTAACAGCTTATTAGTTGACTAGTTATATCGTAATTTGTGTAGAAATTCATTCAATCAATTCACCTTTCAAAGAGTTTCTAGATGAATGTTCACACAGGGTGCTTCAAACTCTTCTGTAAAAGTTCTATCATTTTATTTTTGTAATCGTAATCTGTGTTGAATTTTCTTTTCGATTCACTCTGAATTATTAGTTTTTTTGGGCCCCATTGTGCTTCAAGAAGGTCGACAAGGTGACGCACAAAAGTAGGCAATACAAAAACAACAAACCGGCGGCATTGTCAACGTTGCCTTTGTTGTCGTCTGTCGGGCTTCAGAGCGACGCCAACGCACTTAGACGCACCCACACACACGCACATACACACATATACATACGCATACACACACACCGACTGCATATCTTGCCTCATTAACAGCACACAACTCGCTGCAGCAATTGCCAGCGCGCTGCAAATTTGCCGCAGCAGAGATTACTTTGCAACATTCTGTGCGCCCTGCTTCCCCGTTCAGTTCAGTAGGTGACACCAATGCGCGCGTAGGTGCCACCGCCGCCGCACGGCGTCTGGCCTATTTGCAAGAGTCGTGCCACCTTGCCGCACCGTGTGGCACAGACTGCGTGCACTTGACGCTATTGCTCCAGATTTGGAAGCGGGTGTTTGTGTGTATTTTGCTGGAATGCATACGTTGCATAGGTGTGTATATGTGCGTGCACACAAGTTAAAGTCAACGATACTCTGGGGCATGAGCGTGCCATTAGCGCCACGGCGAGCTGCCATCGCCTTGCATTTGATTTTATAAAAACTTGCCCTACGTAAGTTTAAGCTGTGCGCGTATCTCGCAGCTCTGATACGCTGACTTTCTCCCTTTAGTCAAATTTCTTACAAAGTTCGAACCGTCTCGTCCTACCCGCTGCCACGATAACCATCATAAAAACCCGCAAGCTTGCAACTTCTCTTCTTACACGTAATTATGCAAAAGTTAAACGCCGCCAACATCAACGCGTCGCGCCTCGGCTAGCCGGTTGGAAAATCAGTCAGCACTTGAGCTGTCGCGTTAAATTATGCAAGAAACAGAAAAACACGACGAACTGCGGCACGCCGAAGATTAACCACTCTTGCAGGCATAAGGCTTAATTGTGCCTTATACAAATTCTTAGTTCTTGTAGAGCTATATGATATAGTAGTCCGATTCTGAGTAGATTTTGAGATATCTTGAAAGCCCAAAAAGTTTCTCATGCTCATGCAGATGTAACATATGACTTGTAATCTGACCGATGCAAAGTTTAAAATCAAACCGAAGATCATGTCTATACTCCGCTTGGCTGTTGATATTGATCCGGAATATATACTGTGTTAGCTAGAATATATCTTCTTCTGTGCGTCACACGTTTTATGACAAAATTGTAATTTCTGCTGCAAAAGTATAAAGAGTGAGAGCACAACAAGAAAACAGAAAAGTAAGGTTCATTAAAAAAGCGCACGCGTTTGGTCATTGTATGGAGCGTTCACTGTAGGTGTATAACGCGATTTGTGGCATACGTAATTGTGGCTTGGCATGCTGCTCAAATGTGTCGGGCACTTGATGCCAATTGGCTGGAAATTGCGTTAATCCGTCGAGTGCCCAAGCAGTGGCTTACAAAATCGCGCCCAGGCATTAATGGCCACAATGCCACCGGCAATTCTTAGCAATATGCTCTTAATGCGATTTTAGCGTGTGCCTTTTCAGCCCTTAATCCTTGTACAAGTGGATTCTAGGATATTTCAATATAGTGCATAAGTTTCAAATATCTGAGTTTTTCCTTTAAGTTGAAACAGACTTATGTCTAAGACAAGATATTTTTAAATTGTACTAAAATTATTTGAAGAAATCCTGAAAAGTTGCAATATGTTTTAAAGGTATACTTTTAAATATCCAAAAAATTAAATTTATTTGTATATCTAATTATGTAAATTATACATAAATTAAATGAATATTTTTGAATATGTAAGCCAGTTTCATAAATTTTCGACTGTTTAATATTAATCAGTTTAATATTATCTAAGACTTTGGCTCTTCTGTTCATTAGTTCTGATACGTCAAGAAATGAATACTTGGAAAATATTTACTACAGTCAAGTACTTATATTTAAGGTTTGAATATTTTAGATTTTTAGCTGTAAGATTTATATTTTAGATAAAAATGTTTGATAACTTGAAATAATTAGACTTGAAATAAGAAATGTTTAGTTTTCATAAAGGCTTCGAAACGAACCGTAACCCAAACTTACCGAACCGAAACGCAAATCGGCTCATATTAATGCAGAAAATATTCTGATTTAAAATAAAATAGTTTTAAGCTATCATTAACCAAAACTAACGCTGATAAATGTTGCTAAGCAAGAGTAACAGAAGATAAACTGTAAATAAATAAATTTTAACACACAAAAAAAAAAAAAAATGGGCAGCCAGGCTCAAATCGTAAGTATACTGGATATCGAACTATTGCATTTGTCTATTGTATAAATCGAAATTCATTAAAGAAACCTAAGAACGGGGAATCGGGTGAAATTGTAAACCGAACCACCCGCTATTTTATTTGGGTTTGTAGTCGATTATATCATCATATCATATCATATTATACCATATCATATATCATGACATATTATAGCATATTATATCATAATCTCATATCATATCATACCATTGTCCACAACCTTAGATAGTAGCTAGCGGAAACTTAAACTCTTAAATATTTGAATTTTGCAAATGCAGCTAGGAAATAAATAATGGCAATAAATAAAAAAATAAATAAAATATATCAAAAAATATTAAAATCATATATTGGCATTGAATTAGGTTGTACAAATAAATATTTCTATAAATATATTTATCTAAATTAAAATCTTAAATTTTATAAATCCAATACGTTAACTGACAGTTAAAGGCAGCTTTTAAGATTTATACCCCAACTATTTGTACCGAGGCGAGACCCTTCCTCAATCAAAGGCGCTAATAATTGCTGTTTGCGTTTATTACCGGGAATGTGGACACTATCATCAACTGCTCGTTAGGAGCACTGTGGTATTGGCTAGCACTTAAAGCGACAGGCGGGGACAGGACACTTAATTACATGCATTGCGCAGTCCTGTTCTGTTGTCGTGACATGTCCTTCGCTGTCAACTGTCCGCTGTCCAGTGTCTGCTGTAGGCTGTCAATTATGGCGTGTTCGACATGTGGCTGAATCCGTGCTCTGGGTATCAATCAAATGGACATGTTACAATAATTTCATTTCACAACAAAAATTAAATGCAGTCGCGTGCCGCACATATTTACATGACTATTAAATTAAAAAACATGAATGGACAGGACACGGAAAAGATATGAGCTGGGAAATCGTTTAGTCAAGTTTGAATGGCTGCCCATAAAAATGGTTTACTGACATGCAACAATTTAAAAGTATCTATAAATATGAATAAGTGCGCGTGTATAGAGGCGGGTTTATTTGCTTTTAATAAAGTGGAAAGAGTAAATATGGTATTGCAAATATATTAAATTCTATCTTAGATATATAGTGAACGGTTAATGCTACTTTAATAATAAGTCAACTAATTAGATCAACGGTGATAGCTAGTCAGCTAAACTTTGTGCAGACGGTGCCATTTGGTTCGAAAGTAAGCTCTAAGACGGGCTTTTGTGAATATTTGAACTACAATTTGAGGAAAATGAAGGTCAATACTTATATGAAAAGGATTAAACTCGAAGGTCGCCTGATATGTGAGGTTTCCCACCGAAATACCTAAGGCCTGTGATCTTGGCATTTTAACGTCGGACCAACAAGTGCGAGAATTTAAAAGAAAATTTCCTTTTGCTTTGATTATTTTATTTATTATAAAGCTGTCATATGTATATATGAGTTTATATGTATTTATTGGCAGATACTAATAAATTCATTGGGTATCGCGTTGGGAGACATGCTTAAGCAAATCAAAAATTGTGCTGTTTTATTGCTTGCACATCTGTCTAAAAGGCGCTTGCACTTATATAAGCAAAATTATCAAATATAACACTGCATTTTTTCTTCTACTTATTTATCAATTATTTTTCCGCTCTCTATTTCAGTGCAAAGTTCCGACATGATGGCCACTTCACAAGATTATTTTGGCAATCCGTATGCTCTATTTCGCGGCCCGCCCATTACAATGCGGCCGCGCACATCGCCGCTGGGCGTGGCTGGTCATACGCATGCCAGCTATGCGGCACTCGATCTGCAGTCGCCGCACAAGCGCCACATTGAGACAGATGTGCGTGCACCGCCGCCACCGTTGCCGCCTCCACCGCTTTCGCTGCCGCCGCTGTCCGCAACATCGCCGAGGTAAGCCCGAGTCGAGTGTGCAGGCGAGAAAGCGCTAGACAAGCACAGAATTGAAAAACTTACTGAAATGCATATCATCAGCAACACATCAACACTTCTATGCTAAGTCTTCAATCAACCAAAGCGCGTCAATCACCAAAGAAAAAAAAACAAAAAAAAATCATGTTTCAGTCTAGATTTTGTTAAAACGTTTTGCTTAGCGTTTCCAATTCAAGTTAAAGTAAAAGCCCTTAAATAGTTACGGCCAAAACAAAATTAACGTAAAAAGAAAAATTAGAGTCTTGCAACTAACTTTTAATCCTTGAAAAAATAAGAAAAAATGGACCTTGATCCCATCATAGAGACAGTGAGAATTGAAGTGAGAAAAGTACTAAATGAAAAGTCCTATAAAAAGTGTTTGCTACGCTATTTGAGATAGGTTAAGATAAGAAATATATAGTTATTTGTAAGTCAAGTCTTAAAATATTTCAACCAAACTTAGCTCATTAAGCTGAACATGTGTATATGATAATCGCTGTAAGACAAAACACCAAAACAATTTAAACATAGTATAATTATAATATGATATTAAAGTCTAAAGTCCTTAGATCTTAAGCTATTGCAGAGCAGTTCGTATACAGAAAGCACTTGTACCGTTGAAGCAGTCATGTTCTTCTATAGTTCGGATAATATAACTAAAATAAATTTTTCATCTTCTAAAGTATTTAAATAATTAGCATAATTAGTTATGTCATATTTATATTTATATACACAAATATATTCTAGTTTTAGCTATTTACAAGTAGATTGCTAAACTTTGCCCAAAATCAGCGTATCTTATAGTCAAGACTACATATATTTATTGGAAATATTTAATATACATACACTGCATAACAAAAGTATACAATACAATAATTAAAGCCAATATTCTAACTAGAAAGCAAATATATATATATATAAAGCATTTTAATATACATATATATAAATACGTATTAGAGAACAGCTAAATTTGTGGGTCCACTTGTTCCCATACTTATATAACAGCAGCATATATATATGTATGTATGCACTTAAAGTTAGACAAGTAGTGAACATTTAATATTGATATACTAAACATGTTAATTGATATTCTAAAATCTTATTGCCTAATCAAGTTCTTAGTGCTTGCCATAATCAACAATAACAAAAAGGGAAATACAGTTAATGTTAACTTAAAGTATACGTACACGAATAGCCTCTTGAAATTATAGAATTTTTTGCAAGAAAAAAAACAACCTAAGTAGTTCAGATAAAGCAATAAATTAAACAATAATTCATATTTAAAAAAAAATATTAACAGTAAAAATTATTAATGCAAAAGTAGTTGAACTATTTAATATCATACATTGTATACCAACAATTCTGCTATATACACACATAAGTAGAGCGAATTAATTTCTAATTTTTTAAGCGATTCAAGTTTATGCCTAACAACTATTAGTCACTCTTAAGTCCTAGGCTTAGACACGCGCACCTAATGAGCACATTGTAAAATGCAAAATTTTAAACCAAGAGTACAAAATGTAAAAAAAGAAGTATCCAAAAAGTAAACCAAACAATTGGCTAGCCAAAAATAAATATCAACTTGTACACTTTAAGTAGTCGTAAGCGATTGTAAAGCAAACACTTTTCAAGTGACAAATCTTAAAAGATAAATAGCCAAATATCAAGCATAACTGTGAGAAGCAAAAGGAAATGAGCCCCAACGAGCGCCTGTTTTGCCAACGTCTTCAATCAACATACCCCACATTTTTGGAGCAGCTGGAGCAGCTCAATCATCAATCAACACTTTAAAAGCCGTTTATCTAGTCGACAACTATTTATTAGCTTAGTATTTTCCAAATCTCTCTCTCACTCTCTCCATTCTATATATGTATATCTCATATACGAAATGTAATCAATACCTAACCTAACCAACAATCAACATGCACCCAAAACCTGTCAACGAGCGCGGTAAGTCAAGAGCTATTTACATTTATCTGTAACTCCCCCATATCAAGCACCACTCACGTGCCTCTAGCCAACGTAGTGCGAACGTAGTTAAATTCACTTAGAACTGCATTCCGTGCGGCATGGAGCCAAGTAAAAGGGCGTTGCGGGCCGCTGCATGTGTGAAGGGCCTGCCGGGTGCTTAGTTATATAAGATTTAGACCTAGAACTTAAGATCTAGCTGCATTGTGCGCATGCCAAACAACAATTGTAAGCCTCTTAAAGCCGTCAACGGTGCAGCAACATGCAACAAAAGCCGCGTCACATATAACTAATACAATAACTTTAATCCAAACACTTACTCATGCAACAAAGGTCTTAATATATGCAACCAACCTAAACTTCCTACACAAATATAATAAAACCAAAAGAACTTCATAAAAATAAAGCAATTTTTCGTCAAGCTCATGCAAATGCCACTTTAATGTGCGATATGATGCAGATATCTGCATATATGCATTTTGCTCAATCGGGCAATATGTCCCCCAAGCATTGACGATAATCAAATCTAACGGAAATGTCTTTACAAGAACTCTAATGTACGCTATTCAAATGCCGCCAAGCACGCGAAAGTGTTCTTTACATACAAATACTCGTTTAATACTCTTTCCCCACAATTCCGTTAGCAACACTACCATAAGGAACTTGCCCATAACAAAAGTTATGTTACATAAAACTAACGAAAATTCAATAAATAAAAAAAAATTAGTGTTAGTATTTAACATGTTGAATGGTAGCGACTTTTTCGAAAGTGAAATCCTGGCGCTGTCTGATAAATTTATACATTTTATAAATTTCTCAAAATTATTTTAATCTCATGCAATGAAGTTTTTTTTATAAAGAAATATTAATGCGAATTTAATTATCGCAGGAGAGTGCATAGAAAAAATGTATATGCCTGATATAGATTGCCACAAGAGGCTTTCCCTCGATTTTTTATACCCTGAACCCATTGATAATGGGTAAAAGGGGTATTATGTATTTGTGCAAATATATGTAACAGGCAGAAGCAAGCATCTCCGACCCCATAAAGTATATATATTCTTGATCAGCATCAATAGCTGAGTCGATCTAGCCATGTCCGTCCGTCCGTCCGTCCGTCCGTCCGTCAGTCCGTCCGTCCGTCCGTCCGTCTGTCCATATGTATGAAAGCAAAGAATCTCTTTAGCTGTAGGTCCTCCTAGTCCCCGCGCAGATCGAGTTTGTTTTCGATAGTCGATAACTTGCCCCGTTTCCAAGTAATCGATAAAAATTGATATCGAAATCCTGTTATTTGAGCAATTTCGGCAAATAATATGAGCTAGAGTCACCAAACTTGACATGTAGCTTCTAGAATAGTATATATATATCAAGTATTTTTCATTTTATACCTATCGCCTGTCGGAAGAAGAGGGTTCAGGGTATCCCCTAGTCGGGAGCTCCCGACTAGAACCTCTTACTTGTTTTCTTTGAAGTTTAGCTTACGCGACGATAGAGTTGTAATGAGTCATGCAATATATACAATTGCCGCCAGTTGTTGCGCGTGTTGCATGATGTGGTGTGGCAAGTTGACAGCTGAGCGTTGGTCATGCATTTCCGGCCCAGCGTGCGATTTGAACTGTTTTGCATTTAAGCAACACGTGTAACTATCACATAGCCACCCTTATGGGGCAAGTTCGTTGCTTGTGGCACTTTGACATGCCAATCGGTAATCCTGTGACAATCTCAGCCACATTTCGTATCAGTATTAAGTAATGTCTCAATTTGCAATTTGCAAAGTGCTCGGACGATAACTTGAGCCAATTGCCCGGCAGCGTATCATATGTATTGACCCAAGCGCAGGCTAAGAGATGATTTGTTAAATATTCAGCTCGCTTAGGCCTTATTTTTAGTCCAATAGCAAAAACGAACTGCAGGCCATGACGGCCGCCACAGACAAAATAATAATATTAATGAAATGAATGAATAAAGAAAGAAAAGCTACTTGTGGCAGGCCGAAATTTACATACCCTTGTACGCATATGACCTACTGCTTTGGAAAATAATTAAGTTCGTATTTGCTGAGTTTGGTCAAGATAAATTCAAAATCAGAAATGTTTTCCACACGAATTCTCATTTCTTGACCGATTTTTCCTTTATGATATAACCTTCCATGTTGACTCGATATTTATCATATGATGAAGCATTATAAGACTCGTTAATGGCGAATTTATTTAAGAACACATAAAAGATTTTTTTAACCTTTGACCGTTCATACCAATGACAGTATCCGGACTCCTACGTGTTCAGCTCAAAGAATATATTTTTCTGATATTCGGAAAACTTTTTTCTAATTTTTTTAAATTCTTTCTCTTTAGAAAATATTTTCTCCTTTTGGCAAAAAAATTCTACGTATTAAAAAGTATTTTTTTTTCCATTTTTTTTTTTGGTTTTGTGTTCAGGACTTTTTTTATAGGATGTTTCACTTTCAAAGGCAAATTTTTAAACTTCCGGTCAATTTCGAGCTCTTACTTTTTCTAAGAGAGCAATAAAAATCGTAAGCCTTAAAACTGGGATAGAGGTGCATAGGCGGATCCAGAATCTATATGTATACACTTTATGATGTCAGAGTTACGTCGTGTGCTATTGACAGAATTATAATACCCTATACAAGCGTATTATAATAATAGTAATATGCATTGTATGCCCCCAAGTCATGTAACACCATTAGGCAGCTGCAGTTGCAGAAGGCCAAGACTGAGGCCTCTGGCAGCGTCATGTTAATGGAATTTAATTCTGTGCAGCTTTGGCAACTCTGGCAGGCACTGTGAATGCCACTTGGCTAAGTCTAATGAATGCAGCAGACTGTGGAACTGGAGCAGGATAAAGACAAAAGACCGAGGCTAAGGCTGCGACTGGGACTGAAAACTGAAACTGAGCCTCAGTCTGGGACGGGAACTGAGCGCTGTTGAGGCTGCCAGGAAGCACGCACTGACAGCAATAAACACACAAACACACACAAACACACACACACA